TAATATCGCTCTCGAGACACTGTAGCTACAGGGTCATTGTTCCCTGATGTGTTTGTTAGGATGCTTTTAGTACACACCGGAAAAACTAATTTTTTTGTTTTCAACGGTAAATATTGCAATATTGATTTCCATGGGAAACAGTACGTATGGCGTAATTTTAGTTGCTAGTTCGCACACAAGTCTGCTTCTCGTAGAGTTCATCGGCACGCTTCTTATGCTAGAGTGTGCGTCGCATCTGTTCTATGGTGGCTGAGATAGAAATGCACTTTATACGAGTTAACGTTATTTACATCCATGGTGACAGTGACGATTGAGTTGCCAGAATCATGAGCATGCCAGATCCATTTCAGCGCTGATGCCTCTAGCGGTGAGAGTGTGTACTGCATCGGCCGTTCGGCCAAGCTATCGCAGACCAGACAGTTGTGTTTGCTGCGGTAACATACTACCTGAAGATTGATTTTATTATGCTGTAAAACAAAACAAAAAATGTGTGTTTGCTGTTTATTTGGCATGAATTTCTAGCATTTCTTGTAATTAATGATGAAAAGAGTATACGTAGATGTAAAAAAAAAAAAAGAAAAAGAAGATATATTTCTAATACGAATCACTGAGTTGATGTGGTAACATCTCCATTCCTCCCACTTTTCACTCCCTACGTCATTCCGAACCTACAAGCACTGTTTCGATGTGATCACCGTATAAAAAGACTATAAACAAGCGCTTCCACTGCTGGGCTTGGCTCTATTCAAACTGACAGTGGACACATTCACAATCTTTTTCCTTTCGTCAATATCTCACGATGAATACCTGGCTTGTGTGTAGCAAAAAAAGAAATTGTGTATTCCTTCGCCAAGGAATATCGAGGCGTTCGACACATCTCGGAAACAAAAAAGGGCTCTGAATAACAGTCTGTACTTGGTTCTGACCCGCACCATTGGATGTTCTCCAAAAAAAAAAAAAAAATGGGAATCTCACTTCATTTTATTAATCCTACACTCTCGGAAATTAAAGGTTGCTTGCTGCATTTTAGGTTCTTGCTGTATGAAAAAGTCATTGATGTTTTCTACAGGTTCTTCAGATCAGATTGGTTTTGGTTTCTAGGTTTTTTTTAAGCACCTGAATATAGTTTAAAAAGGCATTAGACTGTCAAACCTTTATTTTTGAGAGTTTACTCCCATGACATTTACCTCTGAGGACACCTTTTCTTGACATTCCAGTAACTTTGGTAAAAAAAAACAGTACAGCTCTTCATGCATGTGAGCAATGAACATGTGAAGCTCTGTGAAAGTCCAAATGTTGAAATCTGAATCAAATCCATCTGAAGCAGTTGAAATAGAGCCAGGACCTGGGTCCGTTGTCCTGTTCAGCGCATGCACATTATCCTGAACAAGCTGATATATAAATATATATATAAATATAAATATTTAAATGTTTTGTGATATACAGTATTATGATCACGCCAGTTTATTTCAGTTATTTAATTGTAAATGTGTTATTTTTACCAGATATTTGGTGTTCTTGTTGTGCACAACGGTTTCTTTGGATCAACTATCTTAGTGTGAATGGATATTGATTGGTTAAAGGGGTCTGTTTTTACTATAGGTAGTTTATAGCGAAGACAAAGACCATTTTGCTTTTACTACAGTTATCACTGAGGTAATATATTTAAAGAAGAACTGATTACCAAAGTTATTTATGTTAACCTGGGTATGTGTTTAGTCTACTGCAAACTCATTCTGAATGGATTAAAAAGAAACTTGAGGGTTTGTTTTGTTTAGCAGTAAAATCATTTACACCCGTTTGTACACATGCCTTAAATACACAATTTGGCAGCTATA